AAAATGAGAGAGCCAAGTTACAAAGGGAATACTTTATCCTAGGAATACTTGCTTGTGTGGTGATATTAGTAGATAAATTCCATTCTCACTCCTTCTATGCAAGAGGGTTACTTTACTTACTTGATCCTTTACTAAAAAATGAGGTGGCCTACATTCAAAGAAACAATTAATATTTGTGGTGAAATTTTGAATAGACGGAAGAGGTTTAGTAAGAGTAAGAGCATGATAAATATTTTAAAGTTTGAATTTTTTTTTAGGAGAAGGTGAAGGGTAAAAAGAAATACTAGCATGATAATAGGCAAACCTTGGCCATTACCAACAATGATATGATTTGTACCATAATATTAGAGAGAGTAGAGTAATCCCGAGTCGTATGATGTGTAGCACTTGTATCAAGGTACCATCCCATTGGTGTAGGAGAAGAATGAAGTGGCGAATATACGGGAGGCATAATAGATGGTGGCATTAAATGAGGGCAAAGTTGTATAGTTGAATCATGCCAAGCAACATTGGCCTTTGATGACATGAATGAGAGTTGGCATGGTGTATAATGATGTCCGTACCTATCTCTAGTATGGTTTTTAATTCCATATATTTGACAAGGACTATGAATGTGCCAGTATTAGCCTGGAGGGCAAAATTAAGAATAGTTGTAATGATGTCTAGTAAATTAAGATGGTGAAAAAAGGCATGGTAAAGATGTTGGGTAATGTTTAAAAGCCACATTGGCGACTAGATAGGCATTCATGCTTTTGATTAAAATTTCATGATCAAACAAGTGTCTATAGAGTTTTGAAAAAGAGACAAGATCGAGTTCCAAAATTAAAACGAGTAATAATAGGATGATATTCTATTCCAATAGTATGATAAATAATCACATTAAACTCAATAATAGAGATGGAGTGACTAGCGGTAGAAAATTCATCGACGAAGGCCTTTTTTTTTATAGATAATAAGAGATAAACATATCATTTTTCTTTCGTTCTTAAATTTTTATTGAAGAGTGCATAATTAGCATAATTTTTATACTTTTTTATATTGAACTTTCTAGTGATTATTGTACTATATTTTAGAAAATAAAAATAAAAATAACGATATCGAGTTTTATAGGAAAAACATAAAATTGGAGCGAGAAACCTAAGCCAAAAGCATTGAGAAGCCAAACGCCACCATGGAAGCTTAAGGAGACACATGGCCATATAAGATACAAGAAGAAATAGCTACCGATCTTGTGACATAAAGAAAGCAATCGTATGGATGTCCAAGCATAATTAACTTAGACCTTCCAAATTTCTTATAGGTTTTTCAAAGCTTGAGAGTTGGATTTGAAAGAAGTAGTATTCAAAGACTTGGTAGAGGATATCTCAATATTTCTCGAATGATATAGTTGGTCAAAATCCAAGTTCGTTTGGGCCTTCAAACGATATTTCATATTCTAGTCTAGAAAACTAATCGAATCCCATTTAGAGTCCATATCGGTTATGGAGTTTAATTCATATCTAGATTTTAAAACTCCAATTGATGCAAGGCTAAGCCCATAGAATACTTAAGAGGCATAACTACAAGTCTTATGAAGGTCTTGAGTCCAATCTAGGTCGTTATCATGGAGGAATTCAGCTATAAAGTAGAATCCTAAGGTCGGGTGAACATGTTAAGTCGGTGTTAGTGTTTAGCTCATAATTAATGCTATAGATATCTAATTGATGCAAGTATTACTATGTTAGAAATCTAATAAATAGGGCTACAACTTTTATACAGAATGTAAACCCTAATTTAGCTTGTATCAAGTCCATTCAAGTTGATTATTCGGAAATATGGGTTATAGAGCAAATTTCATAAATATAGAAGGTTTTTACACGAGATGAAGGAAAAATTCCACACGGGTAGAAGATTGTTACATGGGATGATGCAATAAAAGAAATGAGAAGTAGTGATAGTGGCACATGGCAATGTGGCTTAGCTAAACAATCCTTGTGACACTTGTAAACAATTAGGAGTGTGATGTAACTCTACTTTAGCTATAAATTATGAAGTTAAGGTTTCTCTTTAGGATACATTCTCTCATCCCCTACTTTCTAATAGCCACCATTCATAGAAATTCCCTCTTTTTAATTCATTATAAGCAACTAAACTCTATTCTTAGTTGAATCAAATTGAAGCTTTTGGTTAATCGCTGTGAGATTACGGGTTTTATTTCTAAACTTATCTTGATTGGGTATTTTATGTTTTTCTACATTATTAGGTTATAGGTATGTGATTGAATTGATTAGAATGCATGCTAATTATTTTATCATATTTACTTATTTCTAGCTAAGTATTTAAGTCTATGTAATTGCTTTTCTAAACTTACCCGTGATAATAACTAGGGGTTGATGATTATGTGATACTTTCATTCAATTCTTTGAAAAACATAGAATTAGGTTATATCTTCTTTAACACTTAGGAAGGTGACTTTGCTTTACCTATCTTTCTCCGATTAATGTCGTTATTAGATTAAATCTATCTAGCACTTAGTAGGTTGTTCAATAACTTAAAAATTAATTAGGTATCGTATATTCGATCGATGATAAAGTAAGGAAAGAGTGAGGATAACATATATATTGTTGTCTTACGGTGAATATTCATGTTTAGGATAAGTTAATTATTTAATTGATGATCAATGACCAAACCGAAAGTGGATGCTCGAAGTTCAATCAAAGTTTTCTTTATCATTGTTATTTACTTTAATTCTTTTCAAGCATTCCAAACACAAAACCCCACTCTTACATGATAAAAAAACTCAACCGAAAGAAACGGTCAATTAAGCCCCTTCTTTGTGGATTCAACCCTTATTTTCTCTAATTACACTATTGTGGTTAAGGTTTCATAAGGATATTATAAATTACTAATTTATTGATGATACGATATGTCATCATATATATTGATTTGCAATTGATGTTTTTAAGATACAAAACCAAATGCACTTTCTAGTGCCTTCCATACGAAGCAAGAAGATTGCAAACCAATTACGTAAGGAAAAACATCATCCGACGTAAAGGATAATAGCCACAAAAATAAGAATTGATCTTTTGGAAACCATGGTTCAAAATCTAGATTGGAAACATATGTCGAGGGAGTAGTGAGGGATAGAATGGTGTACAATGGTAAGGAGGCCCCGCCATTAATGAAAACTAGTAAGCTTATAATACTTTAGCAATGGTAAAAATTGAGTTTTCTAAATAGAAAATTGTGAGTAGTGAGTTTTTTATGGCAAAAGTGCAATGGATGGTGGGTGTAGGAAAGAGTAATGTTTGTGGTAGAAATAATGAGTTGACTCGCTAAGTGGTTGAAAGGAAGAAGACATTAAAAAAGATGGGCTCTCATACCATGTGAATGATTAGAAAACTTTATATCTATTAATCTTTTGATGTAAATGTATTTATATGAGAAACACATACTATGATAAGTACCTATAACAAGTATAAGATAAATACAAAGTGTTGGAGGGCAAAAGGAGATTAAGCAATACAAACAATCTTAATCACTACCGATAGACCTAACATTAATCACTACTAACAAACCTAACACCTAGTTTCAAAAACAATTTTTTTTTCTATTTTCAATTTATCTTTTTAAGAAATAAAAAGAAAAAAATAAGCAAAAATTTAGAAATAATGATGAGAAAAGAATATATATTATAAAATAAAAAATATTAAATTAATCGTGATTAATACTGATTAAAAAATTAAAAAATTAATTTTTTAAAATGAGAAGGACTAATTTATAATTTACTCGTTAAGAAAGCCACCTTTTGCTTTCCAATAAATAAATAAATAAAGCATATTAACCAACAGCGTCCCCTCCTCTTTGCTGCCGACATGTTTTTAGTATCAAATCCAACGACGGTGGATTTTTCCAAGGATCTACACACTCTCTCTCTACTTTTTTCCTTTTTCCCAAATCTAAACCACAATTTGTTTGAGTAAATTGTAAATTAGTCCCTCTCATTTAATCATCTTGATTTTAAACACTAATTATTTAGTAATTTTTGCTATTTTTTAATTTATTTTGATTTTTTGTTTTTAAAAAATAAAAAAATAAGTAAAAAAATATAAATAGATTGATGAAAAAATAATATATTTTATAAAAAAATATTAAGCTAATCGTGATCAATATTATATAAAAAGATTAAATAATTAATTTTTAAAACTAAAAATATTAATTAATTTGTTTCTCAACAGAAGACACTAATTTATAATTTACTCCAATTTGTTTTTTCGTTAACTTTTTTTTTAAGGCCTTGTTTTTCCCTGGACAGTAGTAGACTGGCGTCAAAGAGTCTCGCAGCAGAGTCAACATCACTCTTCTGTAAAGAAAAGGTTGGAAAACATTACAAAAGAAAGACACAAGATGCACTAAAGAAATTAAAGCAAATATGGGTCATCTAGGAAGGACAAATAGCTTGAAAACTTTTGTATTTGTGTAGCATATGCATCGGATATTGTACCAATCAAATATGGGCAAACTCCTATCGAATATTTAGATATTCAAAATTTATTTATAATAATAAAGAAATTATAAATAACATGAAATCTATTTATCCTTTCATATATTTTTATTTAATTCATTACATTGTTTCTTAATCCTGATTTTTATGATAAAGTTTTGTATAATATATAAAATAATTTTTAAAAAATAATATATGTTTCTTATATTATATTTTAAATTTTTAAAAATTATCATGTCATATATCCATATGATACTTAGGATGTATTCATTTATTAGAATCGGTTCCCATGCTTCACATGTCTCCTTGATTAGAATCGGTTTAAAATGATTTGACAGTTAGAGAGGCAACATGCCCCTGACATTCTATCATTGTTTGTGACCTTTTCATGTGAAAGGTAGTTGATGGTGGACTTGCTGGTTAGCTTTAGCTTTATTTTTTATTTATTTTTTTATTTTTTTATTTTTTAATCTTACTTCTCTACATGTACCATAATATTAGGTCAGAGACAAAATCAACTGTGGGATTCACCCCACATTTCTAAAAGATACTTCTGGCACTTGCTACAACAGCTGTTATTAACAAACAAATCATTGCTAACCCTTTTGGTCCTTTTAGATCTTGAAACTTCACTGGTACTGGCCCCATCTTTTTTAAGGTTGTGTCTGTACTCCAATGCAACTTGCTCAAACACTTCCACCTCAAACATGTTCAACTTCAGCCTTGGCCTAACATGATCTCTAATGTACGCGAAGGCCAATTGGTCTCTTGGGTTAAAAGCTTCCAGCTCATTGAATAAAAGGCAAGAGAATAAATTGTTGTTGACTCCATGCTTCCTCAAGATAAGAGCACTATCTGGTACATCTACCAAGAAAAATACCAGGAGGGAAACACAACATCATGTTTTTATGAAGTAGGGTTTTGAATACCGATAAAACTAAAACAACTTATTGAATTCAAATAAAATAACCAAAAGATTCATTAAATTCAATTTCAATTTTTATAAATAAAAGAATCTTTTTGACTTTTTAATGGGTAATTAACATATGCATAACAATATTTGAGTTTAATGACCACCAATCTGCTACATGCACTAAATAATCAATATTTATTTTACGTCTGCATGTGTACACATTTCAATTCTTGGGCAACTGTATCTCTAGTGGCCAGGAACAACAAAATGCTTTTTGAGTCCTGGAGGAGTGTAAACTTTAGTTCTTTTCTTTGAGGGAACATACTTGGACTTCAAGTCATGTGGGATTTCCTAGCTAATTTTATTTTCACCTGGTTATCTTACACCAATTTGCCAACTAATTGAATCGAAATTCTTGGATTTCCGAACCCTCCTTGTTGCCAAACAAACAGTAAGGAACTCTGCTTTGATGTCATCAAGAAAATCCATTTATTAGATGCCCTATGTCACAACATAAAGATGAATATCACAAGGTGGCGACGACTTCAAGCTGTTAAACAACAATTCAACATTGAGCCCATCATAATCTGCGTAACTTCTTTCCGTGGTGTAATCTAAGAGGTTGATTCGGAAAAAAAAAAAAAAAAAAAACCTGCTACAAAATTAGATAAATGCATCAAGGCCTAATTTTTTTCCTATTTCAGTGACTACTTCTCTTATCAAGGTTATTCAATTGAATTAGCACCAACGAAAGTTACAAAACCTTTTAAATTCGCAAGCATTCTTATACTTGTTGCCCTGCTTAGATTACACTTTATTAGTTTCAGCACATAGATATATGTTAGACCTAAGAAATAGTCTATGTTTAGCCACAGTTGAGAAATCCACATGTCGGTAGTCCTTATTGGTTTCATAAAAACATTTTGGAGTAAGGGGGACCTAGCTATCCCTCAATGCCCCCTCTACGAGGAAGACATTATGAAGCCTATTTCCTGAGGACTACTTCTTAAATGCTAAAAAGCAAAGTTAAATATGATCATTACAGTAGTGATTATCATAGGATTGAATGCTTCTACCCTAATTTTCCTCCCCACTTTAAAATGTATAAAGAAGCATAAATGCTATGATGCATTGACAAGAGATTTCCTAATGGTATTTGCAAAACTCACCATGAAGGAAAGAAAAATTTTTAATTTTAATTTTTTAAATTCTAATGTTAAATTATGGAGTTATTATTTGTACCTGAAGGATAGGGTTTGTTAGGTGTCCATGGCTGCAATCCATTCTCACAATAAGCCTCCATTTGCTTTCTCAAACCATCAACATCCTTCCATTTCTTCCACCTAGCGGTCGCCAATGCCTCTTCCATGGTATGTATAAAGAATGGATGTTTTGAAATAGCCAGGTCCACTTTCTGTGACACTACCAAGGCATGAACTAGTAATAACGGATCTACCATTAGTTGCAGCTTTGCATCAACCCAAATGCTAAATTTTGAGTTGGGAAAAAGTCTATGAACTAAGTATTTGGGTACCACTCCATTCATAGCTGGATTATCATAAAAGTCCTTGCTCGAGACCTTAACAATTCTCCATACACCTACATTGTATTCATGGGAGTTTCTTGACATGACTTGGTGGTGGTCTAGTCCTTCTAGGGTAATATCATCCACAAACATGAAGAAACAAACATTATCTAGAGTTTTGGATCCAAGGCTTTTCGGTTGCCTTATTTTGTCATGGTCGTTGAAGATTGCGGAGACTACAACAACTCCATGACAGCTCTCCATTGCCATTCTATCTGAGATACACCAGCAGTCAAAACAACAAATCCCATTATTCGAATTGATCACTTAAGAAATCGAAATTAAAAAAGAAATAAAATTTAGAACGAGAATTTTAATCCATTAGTCTTTTGAGGATCATCTGTTTAACCAATTTAACTCGATCCAAATTAAAAAGAACGAACAAAATAACTTTTGAAAAAGATGCCAATGAAATAAAACTAACCAGAATCACTGGCTGGAAACTTCTTAAAGAACCCACAAGGAACCTCCACACTATCGTTTAAAAGATGGAAATATGAAATCCTCTCCTGAGTACTCAAACTCCCACCAAAATGCTTACTATTTCCCTTCAAATACCTCAAACCACGGGAAGAAAGTGATGAATTTTGGCACAAACGTTGGATCTCCTTCAAAACCATCCAATAATCTAACAACAACAAAAATAACCCATTAATCAAATCAAGCATTACAACCCATAATTCATACCAAGTGAACCAAAAAAAAAAAAAAAAATACAAGAAGATACGGAGTAGCTAGTACCAGAGAAATGGACAGGAGAGGAGCAAGAAGAACGATAAGTGGGGATGACGTATTTGTGTTCCCCATAAGAAGAAGGGTAAGAGAAGAGAGGAGTCTGGATTGGATCGAAAGGAGAGGATGTGAAGAGACATTCAGTTGGAGAGTGGAAGGTGTAGAAAAGTAAAAAGAGAGTGGTGAAGAGGTATAACAGAGAGATACATATGAGTTTTGATTGGAAGACAAGAGGTGTTGAGAATTTTGCTTTCCCCATAAACTGTCCCATGGGTTTCCTCGCCATTCATATCCTCTTTATTTTCCTCTTTTTGGAATTTTATTAGTAGCAGGCTATGCAACGATGAAATGATAGGATCACTTCCAGCTCACGAAGGGATCTTTTTTTTCTTTTTCTTCTTTTTTTTTTTCATTTTCATTTTTTTAATATTGATTTTGTTCTTGAATAATGATGATTATTATTAATGTGGGACACCCTGACCCCGTGGTGGTTAGTTGTTTTCGTCCGAGTAACATAAAAAAAAAAAAAAGGCAGGTGGCATAAAGTATACGGGTTGTACTTGAAATATGATGATTATACGTTATTTAAATCTGGTGCCCATAACCATTTGGTAAAACAATTGGATCATTGAGTTATTGGTCCAGCTAATAGATCATTTATATTATAATATAAATATATTTTGCAACATTATTAAAAAAAATTAAAAGATCTGGAATAGTCATTATTCATTAATTCTAGCATTTGTGTTTTTTTTTCTTTAAGGTTGAAAGGCAACCAAGGCCTGCTCGTAGGCCTGCACTTGCAGGCCTGTCTTGCCGCACAACACTTAAACCTTTTTTTTTTTCAAAAAAAATAAAATAAAAGGAAAAACAACAACAACTAGGCGTGAGTCTGAGCCTAACACACACACACATAGAGAGAGAGAGAGAATATTTCAGATGGTTTGACTTAATTTTTTTAAAAAAATCAATGATTAGTTAAAAAAAATCATAAGTTTTATTTATTTTTTTATATATATTTATTTGAATTTTATTACAATCAATTTTATTATAGTTTTTATTTTAATTTATTGACTTCAATATATTTCATATATTTTAATCTATTGACTTTAATATATTTTATACAATTTAGCCGACTCGAACCTTTTTTTTTTTTTTTGTTACTTTCTTCATATATATATATATGAAATTATTTATGAAAAATATAGAAAATAAATCTTTATTTTTTTTTAGTTTACATACAAGTTTGAAGATGATAGAATATAAATGATATTTTTTAAAATTTTAGTTTGAACATGTATATCCGATTATATTACTCTTATTGTTTGAAATTTATTTCATCAATTATATGTTTCTTATTAAAATTCTCATCAAATTAATTTTTTGATATAATTTTATTTGTTAATAAATTTGGTTTTTTAATATATATGAATTTTGGAATAAAATTTTAGAACGTCGATGATTTATTTTTTTAAAATATATAATTATAACTTATACAATAAATTAGTTTTATGCTTTTCAAATGATTTTTTTTATTTTTTAAAATATATTATTATCATTTATATAATAAATTATTTCTATGCTTTTCAAATGCATATTTTATAATTTATAAATTCGATTGTGTATGTGTGTGTATGTTTGTATAGAAAGAGAGAGAGCGCTAAGAGTATGTTTTAGATAATTTGGCTTAATTTTGTTTAAAAAAAATTTCATAAGTTTTATTTGTTTTTTTTATTGTAATTTTGCTTATTGACTTCGATTAGCATATTTGAATTCTTTAAAGCTAGCCTTTTCAATCATGAGTTCATCAATCTCTATTTTGAGACCTATTTTTTCATCATTAAGATTGGCCAATTCTTTAATTAGATGGGTTGCAAGATTAGGTTCACTTTCATATTTTATGCTCAATGACTAATGATCTCGCTTGTAATTATCTTAGAACTCTTTTTGTTTATTGAAACCGATCGATAGCTCTTTGTTTTCTATCTCTAAAGCACCCACCGTGTGGTCCTTAATATCGAGGCTCTCTTTTGGCTTCTTCTTTTTCTTTAGTAATTTTACCACATGAGAGTTTAAACTTTCATGATAAAGCTCATGTTGGGAATTGATCTCCTATCGAAAATCTTTCATCATCTCATTCATTAATCGAGATAGATCCTTAAATGGTTGTACACGATAGCTTTTGCCTTTAGTGTGTTACCATTTCGTGTAATTAGGCGAAGTCTTTCCATCCACTCTTCTTTTTAGGGTGATGATCCTTTTGTTCCTCTAAACACCCTTAGTTTCCCTTAAGAGTTTCCTAAAAACTTTAAGATCTTTGTAATGCTCAACTAACCTAGTTATTCTTAGAATGAAATATTCAAATCCCAATTGCATCGAGAACATGTTTAGGTAATAACCGATGCAACATCGAGCTCTAATTAGTGGCACCAAGAGAAAGTTGCCACAACAAGCTAGATACAATCGAAACAATATGTATCGTGTTCTTCAATGAAATTCTAACTTCTCTAGGCTGAAAAAAATTCTTATCCATGAAATTTTGCCTAGCTTATTAATGGAGTGATTAGCAATGTTCTCCAAACTTAGAGTACAAGTGCCATGGTGCATGAAAAATTCTAGTAACTTGCCCAATCACTATATGACTAACGATCCATATGAACAAAAGTTAGACATAATACCTTAAATGCTCATGTCCTTTTCTTTGACAAAAATTTGGTGATGAGAGTGATTTTACTAGGATCGTAACTATGGGGTTGACTTTGAAGGACATAACACTCTTGAATACATTGACTACTTCAATGTTGATCATGCTTTCGATCGATGATAACAACATCTATCCATATATAACTAATACTAAGATTCTAAATTTGATGATATTATTATAGTCTTATGAGCACTTTATGAATTCTACTTGGAGAATGTCCCCAAACCATCCCCGAGTTTTAACCCTTTTTGGTTAATGGATTTTCTATGATAGCGAGATCAATTCTAGTTAATCATGCAAAATGGGATAGAGTTTGCTCGAGTGGATTGTGAAAATAGAATACCTCTATTTTTGAAAAAGGCTAGTAAAGCCTCACATTCTTTTAGTGTGAATGACAAATCAACACTCTTTAAGGTGAAGCAACGGTATTCTATATCCTAATGCCCTATCATAGCTTGAAAGCTTCGGATCTTAGTCTTTATCTTTAACAATTGGGCTATGTACCATAAGCTTTTTCAAAGTTAAATATGCCTTTAGGAATAACCATCTCCTTGCAATTAAGGAGTGGGCCCACATTGGCCATCTAATTAGCGAGGTTTTTTTTTTATACTTTTGACATAAAGCTCGAGCGCAAATAATCTCCTTCCTCTATTTAGGCCCGCTCTAATCCGACCCTAAAATCCTTAACTTCATTTTTAGTTTGCTCTATCATAATTTGTGTAAGTGGTAGCTTGTAAAAGCCAAGGGTTAGAAGAGATATCATTTGAGAATAATTCATATCTTAATAGGCTTACCCTAGTGGACAAGATCTAATTTTTCATATGGTATAGGTCAAGATGGTCCAATCCCGAAGTTTTTTCAAGTTTCTCGATAATCTAAATTCCTAGTGTGGTAATCCAACTTCTAACTCTAAACACTAGGAGGTAGGGGATTAATGTTATTTCACCATTTCCTATGCATAAGGTGAGTTTCAATCCAAACAAAAGTCTAGATGAGTATTAATAGACTTTTGTAATACTTGCCTAAGAACCTCTTTATCTAAGTCGGTAACTCGAGTCCGCAGTTCTTGTAGGATTCCTTGATCGTGTGTGTAACGAGTTGAAAGCAAGAATATCGAACTCGGTTCAAAACAAATTAAATATGTATATAAATTAAAATGCACGAAAAAATAAATTACATAAAGTAAATGATTTGAAATCAAATAAAAACTAAATAAATACTTGGAAACTAAGAACTTGGATAAAAAAGACAAAAAAAAGAACGAAGATAAGTTTCAATGGACTAAACCTATAACTTAACTCTAAGTATCCCTAGTGGAGTCGTTATTCGTCACTATAGAAATTTCTACAAAACTCTATGTTATTTTATTTATTTATTATTGAATTATTTATGATTATTATAGGGATGTAACTTATTACTCATTTTGGGAGTCGCCACCTAGTATTATAGAAACTAGGAACCTAAAAATAATACTAGTTTAGAGAATACAAGGTGAAGAGTTAGTTACACTTTTGAAAAGATATCGATCACTTAAAAATGTCCTTTTCTAAGAAAGGTATCACATCTAGTTTAGTCTTATAATTTATTTCTTAAGGTGCTTTATTTGTACCTATTTTTTTCCAATTCGAACTCCAAGTTTTTATTTCCTAAGCCAAATTAAGTTTTTTTATTTTTATTTGTGATATTATATTGAACCAATTATAGGACTCCTTCATTAGGAGACACATTAGCTCAACATCGATTTATTTTAAGTCTCGACATAATCGATATGTAAAAAAAATCCTCATTACTTAAGTATTTTTTTCTAACAACGATTCCAATTAGATATGAGACTTTGTTAGTTTTTCTTAACATTTCATGATTTTTATTTTTTATTTTTACCTAAGGATCTCTTCCAATCTTTTTTTATTGGCATTTTTCTTTATTTTAATTTTTCTTTTCTAGTCTTTTTTCTATATATAATTTTCGTTGCCTAATATTTTCCTTTCTTTTTCTTTTATCTCTATCGTTTTTTACTTATTATTTTTCTATTGTCTTGATGTTTCTATTTTTTCTATTGCTTATTGGTGAGAATCATCATCGATCCTTAAAAATTAAGAGACTTGACTATTCATTCACAAATTAATTATATATCTTAATTCTTAAAATAAAAGCTTACTAATTAAACATTTCAATTAAAGGAATAAACAAATAAATTAACAATTCAAAGAGATTAAATTTAAACTATGCATGAAAATAAAAACATATATTAAAAATAATTTTAGCATGATTCACTAAAAAAAGAATAAAAAAGGGTGATTAGTCCTTTGGGCCCATTGAGTTTTCAGCCCATTGGGCCGAGTCCAGATTGGACTAGAGGACTCCCTTTTCTTTTCTTCCTAGCTTGGCTAACCCTGACTCAAGTTATTTTCTTTTCCTTTTAGGCCAAGCCCGAACCTAACCCTCTTTTGTTTTCCTTTCATGTTCTTAACTTCTTTCTCTTTTTTCTCTTCTTTTTCTTCTTCAACACATTTCTCACAAAACCCAAATTCAAACTTTTGTATCAAGCTCCACCGACTAAACTAAAC